TTTTCATTCTCGCTGAAAGACAAGTGACTTGTCACTATGACCGGTCCTCGACTTTTGAGCTGCTTTTTGTAGAACCGGTTTTTCTTTTGCAACTTGGGGTTGCTTCCTGTTCTTGATTCGCACTCATTCATCATTTTCCATTGGAATAGCAACCACGGTTGCGCCACACACACTGTGAGGTCGTGGATGATTACCGATGGCGTGGTTGATCAGGTTATTGTTTTTCCTTTTGGAAACAGACCTAGTCTTGTCGTTTTCTGACTGCTGCAATTTGGAGGGCAAGGACAAAAAATTTATTTCTTGGGCTTTTATTTATGACAGACATTTTTATAGACCGTTCTTCTTGATCCGTGTGAGTCAATCGACTCGCAACTCATTTGAGGTAACTTCACATTGATATGTGTGTCAATCGAGCGACTGCTTTCCGATTTATTTCGAGTAGACTTGACAATATTACTTTTAACAGCATTCGCCACAGTAGCGGCTTCGGATAGCAAGCCGTTTGCATCCGAGCGGCACTTCCGACAAAGGCATACGCAACTATTTTTGCCAGATCGCCTAAAAGACTCGCGAAAACTTCGTGAAACAATCGTTTGGATTCATCGCACTGCAGGCCGCTTTCTACAGAGTATCAACAGACTGGCTGTTGGAAATTACTTTTCTAGCACTGTACAGTTATCATTTGTAGGTTTTCAGAGGAAAGTCGATACGAAAACTTTACAACGACCGGAGCAACAAATGACCAGATAAAGTGGCAAACTGTAAATTGCTAGAACCAAAATAATAAATGTACTCAAAAGTGTTGATGAAAAATTACTTACGAAAGGAACAATATTCCTGACGAATAATTTATTTGAAATAAAATCGGTTAAGGTGAAAACAGAAGTTTTGATGCTAAATTCACGATCAAAATAAAATCAACCAAGATAGGAGAAACACCATTGTCCTTTCTAACAAGTGCGTGTCTTTCAACTAACATTTGCCACGATACCATAACTGGAATGAGACTGAACTCTGAACATAAGAATATTCACCATTACCTAATAGGGTTGGCGAAAATTGTGCAGATTCCAATGTAAACACACGACTGGTAATTACTTACTTACTTACGCCTGTTACTTCCAATGGAGCATAGGCCGCCGACCATCATTCTCCAACCCACTCTGTCCTGGACCATCTTTTCTAGTTCCATCCAATTCTTGTTCATTTTTCTCATGTATATTTCCATTTCCTGGCGTAATGTGTTCTTTGGTCTTTCTCTTTTCCTTTGGCCTTGAGGATTCCATGTGAGAGTTTGTCTTGTGACGCAGTTGGGTGCTTTCCTCACTGTGTGTCTTGTCCACTTCCAGCGCTTCTTCCTGATTTCTTCCTCCTCTGGGATCTGATTTGTTCTCTCCTACCGTAGGTTGTTACTGATAGTGTCTGGCCAACGGATCCGAAGTATTTTGCGTAGACAACTGTTACTAAACACCTGTATATTCCGGATGATGGCTCTCGTAATTGTCCAAGTTTCCATCCCGTACAGTAGAACTGTCTTCACATTTGTATTGGAAATTCTAACCTTGGTGTTGGTTGACATTTGCTTTGAGTTCCAGATGTTCCTCAGTTGTGAATATGCTGCTCTTGCTTTGCCGATCCGCGCCTTCACATCTGCATCAGGTCCACCATGATCATCAATGATACTGCCCAGATATGTAAAGGTTTTACATCTTCCAAATCTTCTCCGTCAATTGTGATTGGATTGGTAAATGCTGTGTTGTATCGGAGAACGTCGCTCTTCCCTCTGTGTATATTGAGACCTATTGCTGCTGAGGCTGCTGCTACACTGGACGTCTTCTCCCGCATTTGTTGTTGCGTTCGGGATAGAAGGGCCAGATCGTCTGTGAAGTCTAGATCGTCTAACTGCATCCTAGATGTCCATTGAATCCCATGCTTCCCTTCAGATGTTGACGTCTTCATGATCCAGTCGACCACCAGGAGAAAGAGAAATGGTGAGAGTAAGCAACCTCGCCTGACACCGGTCTTTATTTCGAACGACTTTATCAACTGTCCTCCATGCACGATTTTGCAGTGTAATCCATCATATGAATTCTGTATGATATTGAATATCTTCTGAGGCACGCCGTAGTACTGAAGAAGCTTCCATAGTGTTGTTCTGTCCACGCTGTCAAACGCTTTTTCGTAGTCAATGAAGTTGATGTAGAGTGATGAATTCCATTCATTTGATTGTTCTACAATGATCCGCAGAGTTACGATTTGGTCTGTACAGGATCTATCCTTACGGAATCCTGCCTGTTGGTCACGAAGTTGAGCGTCTACGCAGTCCTTCATTCTGTTTAACAATACTCTGTTGAAGACTTTTCCCGGTATTGAGAGAAGAGTGATGCCCCTGTAGTTATCACACTTGCTGAGATCGCCTTTCTTCGGTATTTTGATCAAGAGTCCTTCTTTCCAGTCTGTTGGTACTTATTCCTCATCCCAAATCTTATTGAAGAGAACGTGGAGTATCCTTCCAGTTGCCGCTACGTCTGCTTTCAGTGCCTCTGCTGGAATGTTGTCTGGTCCTGCTGCTTTGTCACTCTTGATTTGTCTGATGACCATGCTGATTTCTTCAATTGTTGGTGGGCCAACATTGATTGGGAGGTTCGTGGGTGCTACTTTGATGTTGGGTGGGTTCAGTGGGGCTGGTAGATTCAAGAGTTCTTTGAAGTGTTCTACCAACCTGTTTCGTTGCTCTTCAATGTTAGTGATTACCTCGCCTTCCTCGCTCTTCACTGCTCGTTCTGGTTTGCGGCGATTTCCAGAGAGTTTCTTTGTTACATCATACAGTTGTCTCATGTTTCCTTCTCTTGCAGCCTCTTCCGCCGTCGTTGCTAAATCTTCCACATATTTACGTTTGTCGGTTCTGATGCTCCTCTTCACTTGTTTGTTTACTTCTGTGTATTCAGCTTGTGCCTTGGTTTTTTCTGCTCTTGTTCGGCTGGTATTGATTGCTGCTTTCTTGTTCCTCCTTTATTGAATCGTATCCAGTGTATCAACAGTGATCCATTCCTTGTGATGGTATTTATTGTGGCCCAGAACCTCATGGAATGTTGAAGTGATTGCCTCTTTTATCCTTTTCCAGTTGCTCTCCATATTAGTTCCTTCTCCACTGAGTAGATCATGAAAGGCCTGGAACTTGTTGCTGAGAGCTAACTTGAATTTGTTGAGTTTGTCAGTATCCTGAAGAAAGACAGTATTGAACTTTTGTGATATTGTCCGCCCCATTGTCCAGTGCTTCTTGAGTTTCAATTTCATCTTGGCGACCAGCAAGTGATGAACTGAGGCTATATCAGCTCTTCTCTTGGTTCTCACGTCCTTTATAGTCCTCCTGAACGTTTTGTTGATGCAAATATGGACGATTTGGTTTTGCGTGGTGTGATCCGGTGAAGTCCACGTAGTTTTGTGAATGCGTTTATGTGGGAATATGGTGCCCCCTATGACCAGTTCATTGAAGTGCCTTCTTTTTTTGTTTTGAATGAGGCTTTGATGATCCTTGGTCCATCAGATTCCCATCCTGTAAGTGCATTTTGTGCTTGTTTAGACAGCATCAGTGCAACTCCTTGTGTATGCGGGGCATTTTCTTCTTCATGGCCGGAGTATAACAGAAGCTCTCCTGAAGTTAGTCATTGTTGTCTAATTTGTGTCCAATGTGGTTCACTGATCCCAAGCACCTCTAGGTTGTATCTCCTCATTTATGTAGCAATTTGGAAGGCTCTCCCGGTGTCCGACATTGTACGAACATTCCATGTACCTAAATAAATGGTCGCTCTGATTGTCAGAAGGGGCATCGGCCTCGTAACTTCCGAAGGAATTCGGATTTCATCATGAGGCGTCCTAGTTCTTCTAAATGAAGACCTTCTGAATCCCAGGGCAGAGTTTAAAAGTTTTGAATAATTTTTCCAGTTAGCATTTTTTTAGCGAGTTAGTTTTCTACGGGATGGGATCTCTAACCCATGTCCAACCCTCCTCCTTTATCCGGGCTTGGGAAAACGTGACATATTTTTAAGAAGTAAGGATGGTATCGTACTATGATTTACCAAATTCTTTTTCCTCTTTTATCGATAATATACCTAGTTTCCTGCCTCGAGGTAATAGTGATCCACTTCTACTAGACACAGAAGCCCGTTAAGCGAAACACACTTTTATTCTTCTTCAGCAGCACAACACTGAACTTGTATTCCGTCCAAGATGGGCTCGAGAGTGGGGCTTAGAAATCAATGCTAGGAAGAGTGTACTAATGCACATCGGTCACGGTAATAGTTACCGTTACACTATTGAGGGTAAACCTCTTCCATGCGTTCAAGAGCATAAAGACTTAGGAGTAATATTAAGTCATGATATGAAAACAACTAAGCATTGCGAAGCAGCCGCTGTCAAAGGTTTTCGTGCGTTATGGTCACTTCGCCGGGCGTTCAAATCTTTTGACGAGGAAATGTTTAGAATTTTATATCCCATATATGTTAGACCACATTTAGAGTACTGTATCCAAGCAGCTAACCCGTGTCTGGTAAAGGATACTAACTCCCTTGAGCGTGTCCAGCGTGTGGGAACGAAATTAGTGAAGAGTCTTTCTAAACACCCTTACGATGAGCGTTTAAAACGCCTAAATCTTTTCCCATTGTCGTATCGTAGGACATGAGGTGACATTATACTGGCATTTCGTATCTTTAATTATGATTTGGGTGTTAATATGTCTTATCTTTTTGCTCCCTCCAGCACTAAACATCTCAGAGGTCATAGCAAGAAGGTTCATAAACCACGATCTAATAAACTTAAAGTGGGATCCCGTTTTTCTCATCGAGTAGTCAATGATTGGAACGCCTAACCCGAACAAGTGGTATCAGCCCCATCAGTGAATACTTTCAAGGAAAAGCTGGACCTTCACTGGAAAGCAGGATTAACACAGGTTCATCAACCTACTATCCTTATTACTGAAGACTGAAAACCATCTGTTCAATTTAACCATTTAGCGCGTGGTCTGTCTGTTTGCGCTACCAAGTAGGTTAATTTATTTTTTATTCATAAAACCTGAAGTGTGGTAGGAGTGTATTCATTAATAAAATTCTAATAAACAAGTGTCAAGTGGAACATTATAGAAAATACAACGCTACAGTTCATTTGCCATGTTATATCCGCAATTTCACTGTTCCTGAGCTCCCAATTTTGGGGAAATTTTTGGGAATCCGCCGTAATAAACTTTAAGGAAATGGCACAAAACCTCAAAATTTTCCCAGAATCTTATTACACTTTGGGGAAGTGGGCTTATTATTTATTGATAAAACCCCAAAAATTGTGAAAAAGTTTAGGGAAATCTTGAGTTTTTCCCCCCAAAATTTCCTCTGAGTTTGAGATTTTTCAACAAAATGTCCTCTGTATTTTGTGTTTCTTTCTCAAATTTTCCCCTGTTTTTGGGGTTTTTCCTCAAAATTTACCTTGAAGTTTGCGCTTTTCTTCAAAATTTCACCATAATCTTATAGCAGTTTTTGCAAACTCGTTTTCATGCAATACTTCTCCAAAAATTTCTACAGACATCACGGAAAACCCAGGCAAAAATACACACGTACAGTTTTTACTGCGATGTTACTTTATTTTTGTCAATTACGCAGTGCCAAAGAAACTTAACGTTAACCGATCTATCGCTGTAATTAAAAGACTGATTCGTGACACATAGAAACGTTTATTACGGTTAATAAAATTACAGATCATTGACTTTACAAGGTTTCTTTATTGCTTTGTAACATGAGCAGGTTACGTAGACGTTGAACTATCATTCACAATGTTCTACAAAAATAAAAAAATATTTTTTGGTTTCTAAGCAAATGTCAAAATATGTAAAACGTCAGTGACGTACCAACGGTATAACAATGTTGTTAATAATGCGAACAAAGAACTTACAGTTACGTCTGTTAAAACTTGCGAAGCGGGCTGAAAGCAAGACGAACAATAAATAACTTTTTTACTGACAAGAAAAAAGTTGTATCAGTATAGATATTGATCGCAAAGTAATATTAAAAGTGCAATATGTATTATACCAAACATGTAAAGTGCTTTTAGCTCACCATTTCTTTGGATCGCCATCCACACTTATTTACTTGTTCTCTTGTGTCATGCAAGAAAGCCTGGTTTGCAACATCCATGGCGTGTATTACTTCTTTTTCTGGACAGGTCGCACTTCGGAATCGGGAACACAGAACACCTACAAATATATCAATACAGTATTGTGGACTTACTTTGAACCGTCCGGTAAAATTTGCTGATTTGCGAGGGTCATCACATATGAACTCGTACAATCTGGCCACCTAAAATTTGTTCAAACACGTGTTACAACTTACGAGCTGATCACAGAACTTTAACTCATCTAAAGCAACTTCAAAAGAACACAACTCCTCATGCATTCCTAGTGGGAAAGCAATAGTTGAATTATTTACTTGCTCGGTACGCCTGCCATTACACCCATGGATAAGCGTTCATTTAAAGCGATCAGTTTATCCATCTTACTAGACAGTTCAGTGACTTTTCAGAATCAGAATAATTATTCTCTGATATATCTAGTGATACGTACCACTATACACATCGCTTCGAATATTTATTCTATATCTACTAATTAAACGTGCAACGTGTCACAACAGCTGTTTTTATTTGAGAAGCTCTTAAGGTCATGATTTTTAGAAGAAGGTACTGTTAACAGTATGGCAATATTGCCATATATATGCGTACGAACACTGTCAATGCTAATCGATATGCCAATCCTACGAGTTTTCTCTGATTTGGTGTTTATACTGAAATTTTCTACGGAACTCGTTATTGGTAGGCTTACAGACTATTACTCAGTCATGAGATACATTTGCTACGTAGCAAACCCGTACGGGTTAATTAACGATAGTATTCAAAACCTGAACTAAGGAAGCCTAATCTGTAACTGTGTTTGAAGGTTTAGTTTACTGACCATTAAAAAATAGCTTCAACTTGTACGTTGTGTTATCACTTAACTAAGACCGGGACTCAAACAGTAGTAGCAGTTTTCAACTAAGTTGTACTGCTTTTACTTTTCAGAGATGACTGACATTACTTAATGTATATGTACAAATTGGGAATTAGTATTATAATCTGCTAATTATCGTGATCGTTTGCGTTATAGTTGTTGACACAAAAAGGTTCGTCGTCGTTTGGTCTTCAATATTAATATGCTACGATCATCTTTTCTTTGTAATTCAAAAAAATGGAATCTACTGCAAAGACTTGTTCATTCAGAAGCTATCACTTATACTGAGCATGGCGATCCAGAACAGGTTTTACGTTTCTCATCCACTCCAGTACATCCGTTTGCAAATGACGAGGTTTTGGTAAAAGTTCACGCGGCCCCTATTAATCCATCGGATATCAACACGATACAAGGTACTTATCCAATCAAACCAAAACTACCTGCTGTTGCTGGGAATGAAGGTGCGGGTAAAGTAAGCATGATTTTTACTCTGTGAGTAGTATGTTACGAACAATAAGTGATAATTTGTGTGTTTTAGTTTCCATCAAATCCTGTTTCTATTATCAACCTATTACAACGTCTATTCTACTTTGACTTATCGAGAAGTCATTTTACATGATTTTAGCTAGTATAATTAATTTGCCAGGTACAAACTTATTTAGTTAACTTTAAACCACACTTTGACGGCTAGGAATTTTGTCAGACCACCAAAAATCATAGTAGAAAAACCAACTATCAAATCAGTACATACTTGGCACGTACATTTACCACCAAATCACCATTTTACTCAAAACCCTTAATATTTTATTGAGTTTTGGTGTCAAATATTTAAAAGGTTAATTTACTGACATTTCGTCCTTCAACTGTGTTCATAAGTGCAGCTTTAAGAGTGGTTTTAGGTCACCTTCAAAGTTAGTCAGGCACACTTTAGTGTTCAATCTATGACTAATTGCTTTTAGAACTGAAACATATGTCACCGGTAGAGCAGTCTATAATTCAAATAATGTAGCTAAGCTCTCGTGCTGCTCAATTCGGGTTGTAACCACAATGGACTTCGAAAATCAAGTATCCATTTGAAACTTTTCCGATGAATTTTTGTGGAAATAGTGTTCATGTTTCATAGTCTCATGTCGCCTAACATATTTAGTAGGTTTATAGTCAGTTTTGTAGTTATAAGCATACCATCCCATCTGTTTAAACTGTTGCTTATAAGCAATGCAGTGTTAATGTTAGTTAACTTTGGCTTGAGTGCCCGGGCAGTATCCCAGCCCTCACACAAATCGAATGATTTATGTGGCGCATACATATTTGGTCCCTCCTTGTACCAATGTTCATGTGTTTAAATAAGTAAGTATATAATATAAACAAACGTGTTGATAAAAGTGACTAAATGTATCACATAATAATGAGTTAGAAACAGTTACTTGAGTGGATTCACGTAAGATGCCTTGGAAGGTTTTAGTAAACAACAGTTTTTTTGTTATTTACTTCGGCGTAAAAACAGCCATGAATTTTTGTATACTCGGTACTAAAGGCTGGAACCATGTTTACAAAAAACCAATAAATTTCCACCTGTTTTTAATGTCACAGTTAAAACCACTAATATTATTTATTGTCATATCAGATTATTGCGTGTGGGAAGAACGTGGATGGTTTCTCCGTAGGCGATACAGTTATTCCTTTGGAATTAGCGTCAGGGACATGGCAAACATACTGGTGTGGTAAAGCTGACAGTTTCTTGAAGATAAAACATCCCATCCCGATATCTTATGCTGCAACATTAGCAATTAATCCTAGCACTGCACTTCATTTACTCAATAATTTTGTAGAACTTCAAAAGGGCGATATTTTAATTCAAAATGGTGCGACTAGTGCTGTTGGAATATATGTGATCCAAATAGCAAAAATATTAGGATTTAATACAGGTGAGAGTTTTATTTATTTTTATCAACTTATCTTGACACTGCCTTCATATTTTATGTGTTTAGTGAACCTGTTTCGTGAAAGAGATACACCTGAAGCCACAGAAGAAACACGTAATCTTCTTAAAAGTTATGGAGGTACATGGTGTCTCACAGAGTCTGAATACATGGAACGAGCAAAAGAACTAGGCCCTTTCAAACTTGCATTAAACTGCTTAGGGGGGAAACCTGCATCGATCTTGGTGAAAAACCTAAGTCATTCCGGGACTATGGTTACATACGGTGGAATGACACGAAATCCAATGCCCTTACCCGTTGGTCCATTCATTTTTAAAGATATCAGTTTACGCGGTTTTTGGCTCTCTAATTTTAATCTACATCAGTCCACTTCAAAAAGACAACTTACTATCGACCAACTATCAAAATGGTTTTCTGAAAATCTTATTAGACCCTCACCATTTGAAGAAATTCCTTTCAAAGAATGGCGTAAGGCGTTGCATATGTCATTATTCAGTGATTCAGCACCAACAAGTATTAGAAAAAAGTCTGTTTTGATTATGGAATGATGTACTAATTTCTATTGTAAATTACTGTGTAAATTGTAATGTTACTGAGTTAGTTGATGTTCTGCTTTTTTATCTCCAGAACTTAAAATTCCTACTGTTTAGATCATACTTATACACCGACTTGTAATTACCATTCTACAAATATTTTGACTTTAATTCAAGAAAATAATTTTCAAGATCACATTTTTTGTACCTTTACATCTGTATAGTATACTGAATAGCGTATAAAGTATATATTGGATTAAGGATTTTGGTTCGTTAATTTAGAGTTTTTTATCAACCAAAATAATATTTGTTGCTTTCAAAGTGTTTATATTCATTGCTGTTTCAAGTCAAAAAAACATTGGTTAGCTCTAGGTTTTGACCGAAGTTTATTGGCCAATATATATATCAGGTAACTTATTGCATGTCAACTTTGTATATTATTTAGGCGGCGGATAGTAATGTTATTATGACTTTTTTTCTTATTGGGAACTAATAAGTATTCGAAAAAAGCAAGAATGGCCATATTTTCAGAATACTATGAATCCACTGTATTTTGTTGCTTTTTACTTCGGCTGCATGTGGACTAGCTCACTGGATTGTGAGTTGAACTCACACTTCCTTTTTTGCCAGAGTTCCTATAAATTTATTTTTACCTTAAATATCCTCGAACTATCACCTGAAAGATTTATAAAAATCCTATTAATACGTTTATTCTTAACATCTTTCACATTTCCAGCAACTTATTTGTTATCAATTGACAATCCACTTTTCAACATTTTGTTAGTAGTCGAAAACAATTGAACTTAGTAACTTGTATGTAGCTTAAGAGAAGGCAACGAAATACAATAAATTCCTCGCCTTCTCCCAAGATCGTTGTTTTTACTTTGTTTAAATTTATACAGCGAACCAATTGCTTAAAACCAGTTGTTGTTTTCTCGTTGAGAAACTGATCTCAAAACCCCCACTTTCAAGTTTGAAATCGCTATGGAGCGAGTTAATTATTTATTTTAGTCACCTCTTCTAACAGAGCTTATTAGTTATTATCAGAGCTTTTTGTGATGACTTTGAATTTCACTCCCGACCAACACCGTATAAACACCATAGTGTAGTTGATGACACCGTTACGACGCGCATGTTCAGTTTACCACTGGAGACGTATTGGTTTTTTTCCAGAATAGTTCCGACCGTGAGGTAACAAACTTGATCGACAAAATAACCTAGTTTATACCATTTCAGCATAAATTATTTCTGATGATTGAATGGTTAGCTTTTTTATACAAAAGATAGAAGTTTCTGGTTATATTTCAAAGTATACTATAGAGTGAGGGTGGTTTATGATTAGTTTTTCGATGACATAACTGGTGAAAAGTAATTTGAAGTTGTGTTCAGATGATAAGTATTGCACATTATGGTTGAGTCCCTCGAGTTCTCTTTCTCTTTTTGTTCGTCGTTTTGAAGTTTTTCGTTCAACAGACAACGTTTTCATAAAATTGGAAGGTGAAAGCAATTTCGAGGATCTGATTTTACGTAGATTTTTAGTTCACGGGATAGTGTTATAAAAATCCCACCTCCGTTTTTTAAATATATTTTTAATAATTTACTGTTTGTGTAAGACGACAAATTGGCAGACAGTGTACATAGATACAACAATATATAAACTGTAGAAGCTTTTTAGACCACTATATCTCTTGTCAGTGGTTAAGTTGAAACTTCACGAAGCGTTAAAGAGAACCTAATGCGCTTCAAAACTCATTCCTTGTACTATTTTGAACAGGTTATGTCCTACTCAAGAAGATACTCAGTCAGTTCTTTGAGTTTTTCAGCTCAAACGCACCATAGAATGCACATAGACTAGCCTACAAAATCCTACTATCTCTGGTCTGTTTTGTTTCATAGTATATTTGCATTTGCATCTTAATTGTATGTCACATCATATTAGCGACCAACGGAATACAAATAAATTATCTTAGATAAATAGATTCTCAAAGGATGTAAAAGAATAAATCATGGTATGTTTGCAAGAATATATCGAAATAGTAGTATGAAAGTTTCGATAGGATACAGGTTATTACTCGTCCCCAAATGCAAGGTTTATAAATAGTATGATGCAACTTGAGCTACTTAATAACAACAAGTAGTATGGCTTAACACACAAACTTAATTTCCTCCCAAGTTGTGTACCCTGTTTTTATTGAACTTAGTACTAACTCCAATCTACTTTCAACCTCTCATAGATTATTTAACATCTCGATAAGTTCGGGAAAACAAATCCAGTTCAGAAAGAACTTTTATTTTGATAATGGGTTCCTGTGATTTCTTGACTCATTGCTTACAAATCTTCAACACTAGAAATTCAAAACTACCTTGATGGTTGTTCAACACAGATACCATAATGCTTCTTATGCTACAGTTCATATACAAAAAATTTCTTACCTGCTTTACATTTTATCATTATTTACGACTAATATTGACTGTAGATTTTTACTTAAGTAAAAACACTTTCATGTCATACTTACTCAGTATCCTTCTAATTTCTTCTGACATCTCTTTATGGTGAAGGAATACCATAGACTTTAATCTGTTTTATAAGTAATTAACTGCCCTAAGTGTAGATATGTCTAATTACATATATTATCATTTCTCTTTTGTCTTTACAAAAAGATGGCTAACTACTCGTTAAAAACTTCTGAGTCTGTTACATTAGTATTTAAGATGATGATTCTGAAGGACATGAAACTATCAGTTTATAATATCTCAATAGTTCATCAACGCCCAATCGACCGTAGTCAAGGAGGAACATGGGATTAGCTTGAAAGTAACAATTTATTTCTACGAGATAGAGGTTGGTAAGAGTGAAATAAACTGGTTAGGTAGAGAGTATATACTAACAGTATAACGTACACGACCAGATCCAAAATAACATGGCTGATTATTCATATACCATTGGTTATTTTAGTTCGTGCGATCAAATTTTCAACAATTATTTAACTGACTCATGTATAATAAAGATATATTTATAAGTTACTGACGTATGTTTTAACTTTTGATTCAAATATTGTTATGAGTGATGCACATATGATCGACCTAGTTCTCTGTAGTGTCAGTAACAAAGTAGAACTTCGTGCGTATGTATACCAGTTCGAGTTACTATACCACATTAGCACACAGATACAATTGTCGATTCAAATCCCGTAATGATAGAGGTAGTAAAACTATAAGCGGTAATCGGAAAGATTAGGGCTTGAAGATGTCATTCAAAGAGTATATTCCAGTGAAATAAATTTGGAAAGAGGAAAAAATAGACATGAAGAATTCGGAAGATTGGAATTTGGGAGAACATAAAGAGTGGATGCACCTGCGCTATTGCAAACGATTTTGAACCATACCATTCAGGATCTCTAACCATCGTTTGCTATCATCTCGTGGATCCCAACCAGATAGTCTACTCCTCCCAAAATGGCTCAGTCCACTTGTCAGTGACTTCATGGACTTGTGCCATGTTTTGTTCTGGCCGCTACTAGCTTTCTCCCAACCTACTCCTATACCATTGAACATCGTACGTAGAGGCATTCGGTCGTTGGGCATACGTAACACATGTTCATGCCATCTCAACTGATGAAGTTCCACTACTTCAGCAATTGATTTGCCATCCTTACCTAGTACCCGTTTCCTAACAACTAAGTTACTTACTCGATGGTCTCAGGATATACGAGCAATGTTTCGAAGACACCTATGATCGAATACTAGTAACCTACGAATATCCCCTACTCTTACCGGCCATGTTTCACTGCCATAAAGTAGGACGGAACGAACTGCTACACAGTAAACACGTCCTTTGGTTGATAAACGGATATCCCGCCTACGCCATAAATGACGCGAGTTGGTAAAAGCTAGTCGAGCCTTCTGTATCCGTGCTGAGATCTCGTCACAAACCAGACCACAAGGGCTGATGAGACTCCCGAGAATAGTGAAGTGATCTGCACACTCAACTACTTTATTTCCTATCATTAGATCGGGTGTCAATGCAACTCAACCAATCCTGAAGCAACATTTTGCATTTCGAGGGGGAGAATCGCATCCCGAACATGCTTGCATTGTTGCTCAGAGTGGTCAGAAGACTCTGTATTTTGTCAGCGTCTTCACCAAATAGAACTATGTCATCGGCATATTCTAGGTCGAAAAGTGAATATCCCGGTAGAAGTTCAACCCCTGCAAATTTAGATGAGGAGAGTGTTATCTCTAAAAGCACGTCAATGACAAAGTTAAGCAAGAATGGAGAGAGTGGACAGCCCCGACGAACACCACTTGAGGTAATCAATTTGATGACAGCTCTACATAAGCTCTCACTCGACCAGTTTTATTCGACTAGAGGGCCTTTATAAGGTTAATGTACTTCTTCTGTACTCCTTTCAGTGACAAACACTGCCATAGAACCTCACGAACAACAGAGTCAAATGCTGCTTTAAGGTCGAGAAATACTACAATTGTGGGGCGTCTGATTGAGTGTCTATGTTCTAGAACCTGACGTAGTGTGAATATTTGGTCTATACAACCACGTCCAGGTCGAAAACCAGCCTGGTTTTCTCTAGTCTGCTCTTCACGAGCTTTGGTTAGGCGTCGAAGTATTATTGAAGCTAATATTTTAGACACTATATTTGTCAAACTGATTCCTCTGTGATTGTCACAAGAGGACTTTTGTCCTTTCTTATAGGCTGGAACAATTAGTGATTGGGACCAGTCAGATGGGATTACGTCCAGTTCCCAAATTCTACTTAAGACCTCAGTTAATCTCACTATTAATACTGAACAACCATCCTTGAAAGTCTCAGGAGTAAACCTGTCAGAGCCTGCTGCTCTCCCTCGCTTCAGATTTCCTATAGCTTTTCCAAATTCGTAAAGACTCGGAGGACCTACATTAACTTGCCATTCAGGTCGAGTGGAGATCGTAGAAAACTGAAGTGTGACTGAAGGCCAGTTGAACTGATCCCTAAAGTGCTCTGCACATCGATTCAATCTCCTGGATTGAGAATGTATAATATGTCTATCTTTCTCTGAGATTGTGCATCACTAAAAAAGCCATAAGATTTGTGGAGGGTGTGAGATCAAAGAGATGAGCTTACATTACTTCAGATCACCACCTGGTGGTTGCCAAGATGAAACTAAAGCTAAAGAAGCACTAGACAACTGGAGGAACAGTATTGCAAAGATTTAATACAGCCTTCTTTCGAGACACTGAAAAACTCAATCAATTGAAGATAGCTCTCAGCAACACGTCCTAAACCTTCTTCAACATTATGGTGTGTCTGAGAAGATCGTCATCATCATCAGGAATTCATACGACGGATTACACTGCATATAGGGAGATTGACAGATGCATTCCAAGTGAAGACTGGTGTCAGAAAAAGCTGCCTTTTCTGTTTCTTCTGGTGGTCAGTTGGATTATGAAGACCACATCTCAAGGGGAGCACAGAATACAATGGACAGCTTGGATGCAGTTAGACGATTTAAAATTTACAGATGACCTGGTCCTTCTTATACACACCGACAAATGAGTGTAGCAGCAGTGTCTGTATCAGTAGGCCATGATACACACACGGGAAAAAGCAAGATTCTGAAATACAGCGCAGAGAACACCAATGCAATGACACTTTGTAAAGGAGCTCTGGAAGGAGGAAACTTTTATGTACCTGGGTATTGATAAAGAAGGAGGATCTGATACGGATGTGAAGTCAAGGATCGGGAAAGCAAGGATGGCATTCCTATTATCGAAAAACATCTGGAACTCAACACAACTGTCAGTCAACATCAAAGTTACATTTTTGAATGCTAACGTCAAGATATTTCTATTGTACAGAGACGAA